GACAGCATCATTCCATGGTGACAGGTGAAAAGGGAGCACCCCTGGATGGGTGCAGGCCAGTGGTTGGAGAGGCAGGGGGTCAGGCTGGGGAAGGGGAGGGACAGGGAAAGATCCATCCCTCATCAAGCTCTCACCTTCCTCCTCAGCCTGTGGCTTTTCCTACGAGCAGGACCTCACCCTCAGGGACCCAGAAGCCATGGCTCGACGGTGGCCCTGGATGGTCAGCGTGCAGGCCAATGGCACACACATCTGTGCGGGCACCATCATTGCCTCCCAGTGGGTGGTGACTGTGGCCCACTGCCTGACCCGGTGAGTCGAGGTCGAATTGGGGTGGGTGGAGAGGCATTTGGAGCTGCTGCGGGCCCAGTCACCTCCTCCCTGCCAGCTGTTCTGGTGGCGGTGGCAGTAGTGGCAGCTCTGCACTGTGCAGAGCCCCACAATCTCAGCCCCTGCCTTACCTGGGCTCCAAACAGGTGGAGGCTAAGTCCTGAAAATTCCTTCAGGGCTCCAGTCTTTTGAGTGTCCCACCCTTTGCTCGCCTCGCCTGGCCTCTCAGTCCCGTGCAGTCATTCCGCAGATGGGAAATGGAAGCTCAGAAGCCATTTGTCTAGCCTCATGCCTTCTCTCCATGGGAAGAAGCTCCTAGTTATTTCATTTCACCCTCTTTGCACCCACATCCTCTTTCTTCCCTTCAATCAACCATCTCTGACACTTCTTTGAGCAAGGCCCTGATCTGGGCACTGAGGGCAGAGGAGGGATAGATCATTCCTCCCAGCTTGGTGGGGGAGACAGAAAGGAAGACAGATACTCACAAGGGTGCCTGGTTGGTGTGGGGACAAAAGAGGGCGTGTTCTCATGTTTTGGGGCCAGGAGTGCTGGCTGTGAGAACTGACCAGTGAAGTGTGTTCCAGGCCTAAGGGCCAACATACAGACTCCAAGGGGTACCCCAAGGGTGCGCAGCTAGAGAGCCAGGCCATGGTGCATTCCATGGAGCTGGAAAAAGTGGAATTGCCCCCTCCAGGGCACAGCATGGGGTGAAAGAGTCTGTGCTATAGACTGAGAGTAGAGTTTGGAACCAGAGAAAACTGGGTCCACATCCCTTCCACTGCCTCCTAGCTATGCAGTCCTGAGTGCTTCATTGGGCTTCTCTGAGCCTCAGTTTCCCCCTCCATAAAGTGAAGGGTTGTGAGGACTGGATCACATAGTGATTGTGCAGGGCCCTGTTCACGTCTGTGGTGAGGAGTAGGCTCAGGGGGCTTGAAGTGGGTGGGTGGCCCTGCCTGGATCTTCTCGGGGGGCAGCAGAGTGGGGGAAGGCCTGGGCCGGAGGCTGGGGCAGGGGGCCTGGAGCTGATTGTGGCCTCCCTTCACGGCCCCCCAGGCGTGATGTTATCTACTCAGTGAGGGTGGGGAGTCCGTGGATTGACCAGATGACGCAGACCGCCTCCGACGTCCTGGTGCTCCAGGTCATCGTGCACAGCAAGTACCGGGCCCAGAGGTTCTGGTCCTGGGTGGGCCAGGCCAACGACATCGGCCTCCTCAAGCTCAAGCAGGCACTCAAGTACAGCAAGTACGTGCGGCCCATCTGCCTGCCTGGCACGGACTATGTGGTGAAGGACCATTCCCTCTGCACTGTGACGGGCTGGGGACTTTCCAAGGCTGATGGTGAGTCAAAGCCGCCCCAGACCAGGGCGGGTGCTGTGAGAAAGGACGTGGTTGCAGGCCAGGGTGCCACCACAGATGGAAGTTTCTGAGGTGCCTTCCCCAGGGAGCCCGCCACTCCCGGGACCTTCCTGCCAGGCTCTCATCTCTGAGGTCTCCCTTCCCTTGAGGATCTCACAGGGAACACCTCACTGCTGCTCTAGCCTCAGGGGACCGTGATTGCCTTTGAATCCTGAGCCAGGCCAGGGCACGTAAACAGAACTTCCTCGAAGGCAGAGAGGCACAAAGTAATACCTCACAGTCCACGCCCGCTGCCCAGGCATGGGCAGCTTGCAGCAGAGTACCTGAGGTGGGGGGGAGCAGTCTTCCGTGCTGTAAAATGCTGCCCAGAAGGCTCACATGGCCGGCTCGGGGCGGTCTGCACCTGGAGCTCATGGTTTCCGCTCCCCTCAGTGGGCCTCAACTCCTTGTCGTCCCAATTCAGGAGCAAGGCCCAGAGAGCAGGTGTGTTCTCTCAGGGACATCCAGGGGACCCTAGAACTGTCCACTTCCTTCAGGGGGTCCCCAACCCGTAAGAGAGATGTCCTTCCCTGTGGCCTCAAGGAACCAACTTACTCTCAAAACAGCCCACGGGGGCTTCAGCCCATGTGGGAGGACCTGGGGGTGACTTTGTCATCCTGCTGTGGCCTGTCTCCTGTCTCCCAGGAGCTTAAGCCAGGGACAGGGACACACTAGTCAGAGAGGCAGGAGGAAGCAGTGCCTGGGCTCCATGGAGGGGTCTGGGATGGCTCAGCAGGGAAGAGGCCTGTGGAGGAAGGGATGCTTGAAGAGAAGGAAGGTTTGGTCCCTGAGAGACTTGGCAGGCCCTCAGGACGGAAGGAGGGGCAAAAACCAAGCGGCCGAGTGTGGTGGAGAGAGTGTGAAGGGTCCCAGTGGCCTGGGCTCTGCAGGAAGCCAGAGCAGGCCCAGCAAGGCTGAGCTGGAGGCAGCCTGCTCCAGGGACTCTGTGTTGAGGGCCCTAGATGGGTACGGGCTAGAACGAGGGTGGGGGTGCATGGCTAAAGCAGAAAAGGTGGGACTGGGGAAGAGTGGAGAGAGGACGAGGCGAGGCTGGCGGCAGCGGGCAGCAGTGAGTGGCCGCGCCTAAACGGGGCCCTGTCCCACAGGTATGTGGCCTCAGTTCCGGACAATTCAGGAGAAGGAAGTTACCATCCTGAACAACAAGGATTGTGACAACTTCTACCACAACTTCACCAAAATCCCCAGTCTGGTTCGGATCATCAAGTCCCAGATGATATGTGCGGAGGACACCCGCAGGGAGCAGTTCTGCTATGTGAGCGGCCTCTCCTCGCTCACTCGCCTTCAGGGGCACCTGGGGGAGAGGCATCTGGGGAGGGAGAGGGGAGGGGTGAAGGATGGGTAAGGGAAGGGAAAGGGGTGGGCAGAACTCAGGGGTGTGGGGATGGAGGATGTGGGGGGAGACTGGGAGGAAACAGATGGGGGCTGGGAACGGGGATGGCGGTTAGAGGTGAGAGGAGTAGGGGGTCCATGGGGAGCTGGAAGGTGGGTGTTAAGAGGTGGGGGATGAAACTCTTTGAGGAAGGTCTCCTGGGTCTGGAGCACTTCTCACCTATGTTGGCACTGGGGGACTGTGGAGGTGTGGTGTGAGGACATCCTGCCTGTCCTGGGGCTGGGTCATGTCTCTGGCCTCACCTGGCCTCCCTGACCCTTACTCCCCCAACCCTTCTCGCAGGAGCTAACCGGAGAGCCCTTGGTCTGCTCCATGGAGGGCACGTGGTACCTGGTGGGACTGGTGAGCTGGGGCGCAGGCTGCCAGAAGAGCGAGGCCCCGCCCATCTACCTACACATCGCCTCCTACCAAAACTGGATCTGGGACTGCCTCAGCGGGCAGGCCCTGGCCCTGCCAGCCCCATCGAGGGCCCTGCTCCTGGCACTCCCACTGCCCCTCAGCCTCCTTGCTGCCCACTGACTCCGTGTGCCCTCCCTCACTTGTGGGCCCCCCTTGCCTCCGTGCCCAGGTTGCTGCGGGTGCAGCTCTCACAGCCCTGAGAGTCAGGGTGGAGATCAGGTACTCAATTAAACATTACTCTTTTCCGTGCCTCCTTATTCCTCGGCCTCGGAGGCCCCGCCTTTCCTGGACCTGCTGTCGTGGGAGTCCACAGGTGAACCAGATGAGGATGAGGTGGGGAACTCCAGGCAGTTTACACTGAAAATTGCAGAGCCTCCAGGATCCGCCCCCATTCAAAGGTTTGGGGTGGCTCCCACAGAAGGTGGAGGGGGTGTGAAGGGGTGATATTAGGGTCAGATGATCGAGGGCCCTGGAACATACCACCCAGGCTGAAGCTGGGGCTGCCAGGACCCAGCTGGGGTGCAGCTGTCTGGGCTGGAAAGTGGGTGCTGTTTCTGGGATAACTGTGGGAGTCAGGCTTTCCTTAACTTTGGCTGATTTCTGACAAGAGGCTAGAATATAGCCTTTCATTGCCCCAAAGAGCCGTAGTGAACTTTGACCCTTTATCCCTGTCCCCTGTCTGGAGACAGTGGAGTCAGACATTATTCCAACCCTCAGCAGCCAGGCATGCCCATAAAAGGCTCGTAGTGGCTCCATGTCAGGGGGAGGGCAGGCGGAGCCCAGGCCTGGACTTCCCCCAGTCTTCAGCAACTGCTGCTTTGTGTGACCCTGAGTGGCCCCTACCCCTCTGGACTTCTGCTGCCTGGTCACACAGGAAAATTCTGCATAAATAGAATGGCCTTCGTCACCCTATGTATGAGAAGCCCATGGGTTGGACTCCAAGGGCAGAGGTCAGTCAACTGTCTCCATCTGGTGTCAGAGTCCTCAGCTTCCATAGCGGGGCCTTTTGCCATCACTCTGCCCCTCACTGCTCCTAAGACCCCATGTTATATATATGCTTTCCTCATCAGCCTGGATCACTGTCCTCCCTGTACAATGATGATCCAGGTCCAGGTCAGGAGCCAGGTTTGACTCTTCTGTGTCCCCAGCACTGGGCACAGACCATCACAGGTCTATTGAAAGTCATGAATGCAGCCTTGTGAACTCAGCACCCAGAGAGCTGGCAGCGTCCCTCCCAAGTCCTGTGCCTGCCTCCGGGGTGGGCCCAGGTGACTGCAGCTGCCCCTCAGCCTCTTGGCTCCCATTTCTCCCTCTATCTCATCCTAATTCAGGCTGGGAGAAGAGTCAGGGAGGGGACTTTAGCCTGGTCTGAGCCATCTGTCACTGACTGCTCATCACCCTCCACATAAATGCCCCAGGAATAGCGCATCCTGAGGGGTCATCTCAGGAGGCCGTTTTCTAGGCCTGGCTCTGAGAAGGCACTCAGCTTTATTCACAAATCTCTGCAGGCTGCTTTTCCAGCAGGCTCCCCTGGCTCAGGAACCTCTGGTGTCTCGAGACCTTAGTGTTCAGGCTTAGGTTTCAGAGCCTTAGTCTGTTCGATGCCATCTGGAAGCACCTCTGTGCATCTTCCCTCCCCCAGGTGCTATTTGGGCCTTTGTCTTCTGGTCAGAGATGCTTCTTTTAGGTGTCCGTAGTGGGAAATAGTAGAAGAGGAAGCTGCAAAGAAGCTGACACTGTTATGGTCAGCAGGTGGAAGGCGCTGCTGTGATCTCCCAGGGCCCTGGGACCTCCCAGAACAACTGGGCATAGAAGGGGCCGCCAGAACAGCCCGAGGTCCCCCTTGGCTTCTTAAATATACTCTGATTCCCAGGAGGGGCCCAGACCCCAGCTTTCTTTCCTGCACCCTCTAGCCCACCGACCTTAGCTCTGTGTACCCCTGACCCAGCCCTGCAGCCCACAGCCCCGAGCTCGAGCCTCTGGGCCTCATGCCGGGCCTGGCAGCAGCCTCAGCTTCATCACAACGTGTGAAATGACGGTCTCCCATTGCCTTGAGCTTGGTGTCTGCTGGGCTGGGGGTTCCATTTCTCAAGCTACCTCTACTCACTCCCTTGAGCTGGATCCCTGCCAGGCTTGCGGAAGTCTCCTCACCATCAGGGCTCCTCCCTGGCCAGGCAGAGTCCCTCCTGCTGCCACAATGTCCCCCAGTGACCCTCTCTGCCTCCTTATGGCCAGTCTGGGTGTGGCCTCACACCCTGACCCATGCACTTCAGCCATTTCACGCCAGAAAGGGTAGCTAAAGTAACCCCTTATCCTGTTACTCCTTCACAGCCACCGCCATCCCTGGCAGAAAGGGTGGGAGAGAGGCAGGTCTGGGTGGGGAGAACAGTGTATCTCCAGAGGGACAGTGGCACCATACCACCTCTGCCGAGGCCGAGGCAGTACCCATGTGGATGGGGCGAAAGGAGCCAAGTCTGGGCTGAGGGGCAGGACACCTACTAGATTGTCTGGTTCCTGCCCCTGAGGGGCCATGAAGATGTAGCCATGGGCCTCAGCTTCTCTCTATGACCACAGCCTCTGTGGTCCCCAAATGAGCTCAGAGTCCAACATTCCTGGACCCTGGCCACGGCTTGAGCTCCAGGGCCTGCTGCCCAAGCTGTCCAGGATGTCTTCATTTCTCTCCTTTCTTCTTCTTGGCCTCATTCTTCTCATCCTCCTCTACCTTAATGGCCACTGTGTCCACACTGTCCTTCTTCTTCTTCTTCTTCTTATCCTCTGTGGGGCAGGGGAAAGAGACCATGTGATGGTGGTGAGACAAGGTCCTGGGGTCTGACTGTCCCGAGGGGAAGGGCCCCAGAACCTCCTACATCCTTCCTTCTTCCTACCGGGGAATAGGCTCATCGTTCTATTTGCCTCATGCCAACCAATTTCTGTGCTCTGGTCTCCAGGGGCAAGGTTGGGGCCCCCTCCCGTGAACTCTGCTGTGGTTGGAGCGGGAGGAGCAGGGTGACTCCACGGCAGCAGACTGATGGAACTGTCTGGGCATAAGCGAGGCGCTCGAGCCAGGGCCAGCTCATCCTCCTGGCCGATCTTCTGCTGAGCTCATTGAGGGTGGCACAGTCTCCTCTGCTTGTTCTGTGTACTCTGGCTGCCTTTCGTGCCAGTACGGGCTTTCAATCTCCTTGCGCCGGAGTCGTGGCCGACGACAGTTGAAGACACAGCAGGGCAGGTGAGGACTGTAGGAGGACAGAGCTAGGCGTTGCGGGGCTGGGTTCAGACACCCCAGGAATATGGCACCACGCTGCCTCAGGCCGCCCGGCGGTTATCCAGCCCACATGGTGCTCACCGCACAAACTCTGGCAGGGAGGCTCGAGCATCATTGACAGACCCCTATGTGATGAGGTGCCGGAGTGGCTGTCCTAAGCGGGGCTGGACTTCATGAGCTGCACAGGGCGCCGCTCCACCCCGAGTGCGCTTGAGAGGCCCTGGCTAAATGTATGATCACGAGTTCTTGGTCTTGGAGGATGGTCTCTGAGCTAGACTGGAGTCGACTGAGGGGTAAGCGCAGAGGTCTGCACCAGTCGACTTAAGCCATAGCTCCGGGGCCATCCAGCACTGTCCAATCCATGGCCTCTGGTGTGCAACTTAGGGCTTTGCCTTCCCCCATGCCACTTAGGTATCGTTCCCATGCACTCGAGAGCTGGGGCAAGCTGCTCGCAGTCATGATGATGGACGTGGCTCTGCATGTCTCCTCCAGCCCTCCGCAGGACATCCCCTGGCTCTCCCTGGCTAGGCGGGAGCCCATGAGAGGGCACAGCCCTGCCCTGGGGCGTTCACCTCAGACGGAAGTTATTTCAGAGGGTTGTATTTCCGGCTCCGACGTGGCAGCGTGCACCACGCCAGTTGGCCAGGGCATGGAGCTGGCCTGGCTGTGAGTGGGCGGCAGGTCAAGGGGTTGCCAGGACCTGGCTGGACTGGAGTTTATTTTTCTAAGGCCCCCACAGCCTGACCACCTTGGCGCCCAGTCCTAGGGAGGGATGGAGCTGGTTTCCTATTATAAATCAGATGACCAGACAAATGTTCCTGGCAGACTCCTGGGCAGAAAGGCCAAGGAAGCATAAGCCAGGTCGTATTTGGGGAATATGGATCAGGATTATGTAGTTGACATGGCAGTACTTCTGGGGTCATTTTATGCAACCAAGGCAGAACCCCTTCAGACAAATATTGTGGTCCCACTAGGTCTCACCCAGGCTCAGAATAAAAGAAAAAAAAAATCAGTGAATGAATGAATGGGATGATCTCAAAGCCTTTGCTTCTGGGAACAGGACTGGACTCTAGAGTGAATGAACTGGGGAGCCAACAGCATCCAGGCATACACTTGGAGGAGGGTGCTGCACAAGGACCCCAGCTGTAGATCTGACTGTCCGGGGGTGGACCTGAGTAGACAGCAGGTCTTATCCAAGAAGCTGAGTCCTGGATTTCTCCAGAACCTGTGTCCATGCCTAAGACCCAAAGCTGGTACCCAATCCTAACCCTTTTGGCTTAGGCCACCTCTTCTAGCCACCCACCAGGAACCTCCTTGGGACCATGCCCACTCAGGCTCCATGCAAGCTGGTCCTAGGCCCTGGGAGGCTGGGGCTTCCAAAGGCACTCAGTGGGCAGCTGATGGCAGCCAGAGCAGGGCTCAAACACCGCCTCTCACTTCAGGCCTGCCCCACACAGCCTGGCCTGGTTGCTTCTCTTCAAAGAAGCGAGACACAAAGAGCTTTGGCTCAAGTTCCAGGGCCCAGGCAGAGGCTTGGGATATAAGTCCCTGGGTCTGGAGGAGACCTCCAGGGGTACCCCATCTAGCCCCATCCCCTTTTCCTGCAGGGCTTTGAGGGCGATGCTCCAATAACAGCCTCACCACGTAGGCCCAAGCGGACTGGGAAGCAGGAAAAATGTTTTCCCCCAGGAGAGGGAGCTGTGTTATCCCCACTGCCTAGATCCGGCAATGGAAGGTAACAAGTGCTGCCTGCTGCTCAGGCGTCTTGGGACTATCCCTTACCCTTTCTAGGAAATGGGGTTAGAGATGGTCTGTGTGGTTGATATCCGAGTGCTACTTGGGGTCTGACACTGCAATTTTCTCATGTGGCCCCAGGCACCTTTGTTGTGTCTTGAGGCCCACAGTGCTCTCCCTGCTGCTCCCTAGACCTGCGTCCTAGGCTGTGCCTGTGGCTCCTGTAGGGCAGATGACCACCCAGCCCTGCAGCGGGCTGTTTCCCTCTCTGGACACCTGGCTGAGGTTGCAGGCACACCTGTCTGTCTGTGGGGCCTCCACAAAGATGCCTGACTGGTTCTCAGCCTCGGCTGGGAACAAAGCACAGGCTCTTGCTCAGATGGGGGGCGGGGATTTTCTGCAGGGCAGATATTTTCTCTTGGGATGGCACTTCTGGTGCCAGGAGAAGCACATGCAAATCAGATGTCATGTGTTCCTTGGAGCCCCTCACATCTGGGTGGGCTCTCTGTCGACCACCCAGCTCTCTGGGGCTCCCCATCCCGGGACAGCTTCGGCTGGGACTAAGTGCAGCTTTCGCCTCCCCACCCAGGTTGCACTCAGCAAATGTCCAGTTGGGGTCATTTGAGACCCTGCACGAGGCTGCATCTCCTCCAGTCTCTGCTTACAGTATTCCCTCTGCCCAGAATGCCTTTCCAGCCTCCCCCCTGCAAAACCCCATCCACCCGCCCACCGGTCTGCAGCGCAGAGGACCCTCCTCTGTGACGCCTTTGCAGGGGAGCAGGCTGCTTCTCCCTTTACTGCCTGCATTCCACCACGCTCTGCTTTTGCCTCGTGGGAACCTCTGTCAGACTGTTTTGTGCCATGGCAGCCTCCCCACTCGGCCTCTGTCTCCTGTGCCTTTCTGTCCCCTTCCCCACCTCCAGACCTCCACCCTGAAGGGAGGGCTAAGGGGAGCAGGCCAAGCCCATTTCTGCTGTGACTTTGCATCAAGAAGCTCCCAGAGCCCAGGAGAGGAATGGGTTTCCTGCTTTTAATTGAGGCGGGTGTGAGTCATTCCTGGAAAATGGTATTTGACAAGGCAGGGATCGAAGCCTGGGAGCCACATCTGCTGGGCGTCTGGGGAGCCTCTAGTGGAGGATGGCTTTGTTGGGGCCCCTGGGTGTGGGCCTTTAAGCTGGCCAAACTGCAGGAAAAGCATCAGGAGGCCAGCCATAGGGAAAAATGACACGTCCTCATCCTAGTCCTCAGTTCAGTGGAGTTCCCTGTAATTACCGTAATTGCCATGTGGCTACCTCCCTGGGTCCGGCAGAACACTTCAGGTCACCACCGGCCTGTCAGCCCTCCACAGGGAGTTTGTGAGGATCAGGAGGTGCCAGAAACCACTGTGGGTCTCCTGCGGGTGCCTGGCCTACTTGCACTGCCCGGAATTGCTGCTCCGAGCCCTCTGGGGGGCAGGCGGTGCTGCGTTCCCACTGCAGTGTGGCGGAGAGGGAAGGGAACAGCTACTCACTGATGGACAACACGAACAGTGAAAAGATGCCCACCACGTGCCACAGGCGCATGTCCCAGAACACCACTGTCTCCTTGGTCAGCGGGGGCGGCTTGGGCTTGGGCGGGGCCGTGCTGGGCTGTGGGTCAGGAGAGAGGGGAGTGAGTTAGGCAGAGGCCAGCTGGCTGGAACCTGCTGAGGAGGGCCCAGGTCTCTGCAAACACTCAGCCCAAGCATATCAGAATCTCCTAGAATCAACTCTCTTAAGCATGCACTACCAACACCCTGGACCTAGGAAAGTTTCAGATTTAGAGCAAGAGAACCGAGCAGAGCCAGGGATTTGAAGTGGGAGGGTGGTTGATACTTGGGGAAACCAAGGCCTGGAGGAGCAAACATGGATGGCTTGTCCTGGCCAGGTTCAAGACCCCTACGAACACACCCTCCTACTCCAGTCCTGGGCTCCACCCAGGCAGATGGGGTCTCAGGACCAAGGCCAGAGACAAGGTAAGGCCTGGGGGGTGCTGGTTGACTGGCTTTGCTCTCATATCTCCCCAGTGAGGGTGAGGTGTGGAGCTAGGAGTCAGGGCCTCATCGTTCTGCCAGCTGGCCTGGACCCCTGCCAGGCGGCCTCCTTTGGTCGCCTACCCTACTAGGAGTCACTCTCTGAACAGAAGGCTGCCAGAGTGTCCACAGGACAGGCACTGAATAAGTAAAAGGCCTGCAGTGCTGCGGCGACACCTGGAGGCCAAAAGGCAGAATCGTGGCTGTAGCAAGCCTGAATAGAGCACAGCCAGACACTCCCACTTTCCAGGGGGATGTGACCCTGCCCTGGGGGACTGAAGGGATAGGACACTGCCCCAGGGTCTAGAGGACACAGTCCTGCCCCCGGTCTGAGAGGACACAGCCCTGCTCCTGGGTGTCTAGGGGACATGATCCTGGCCCTGGGTGTCTAGGTACATGCTTCACCCTGGGTGTCTAGGGGACATGGTTCTGCCCTGGGTGTCTAGGGGACATGATTCTGCCCTGGGTGTCTAGAGGACATGCTTCACCCTGGGTGTCTAGGGGACATGGTCCTGCCCTGGGTGTCTAGGGGACATTATTCTGCCCTGGGTGTCTAGGGGACATGGTCCTGCCCTGGGTGTCTAGGGGACATTATTCTGCCCTGGGTATCTAGGGGACATGGTCCTGCCCTGGGTATCTAGGGGACATGGTTCACCCTGGGTATCTAGGGACATGGCCCTGGCCCTGGGTGTCTAGGGGACATGGCTCTGCCCTGGGTGTCTCAGGGACATGGTCCTGCCCTGGCTGTCTAGGGGACACAGTCCTCCCTAGGTCTGAAGGGACATGGACCCACAGTGTGGAATTTGAGTAGATCTGTCCCTGACCAGAGATGGATATGACCCCATGTCTGTCACTTAGTGTGGTGAAAGGGTAGGGAGAGGGGTCTGTCCTCTGAGGGAGAGAGAACCCTGGGGCATATGAGCGAGATGTTGTCCCCTGATTACCAAATAAGGACAGACACGAGTAGTCCCTTCTGGTTTTCTGAGAAGAAAGGCAACCTGCAGTTCGACCATCCAGTCCTTCTTCCCAGGTCCATAAACATGGATTAGGCATCTGTCATGAGCCAGGTGCTTCTTCATCTAGTGCATGCCACCCTTCAGCGTGGGTTGCAGAACTCAAGAGAGGATCAGCAACCTGTCCCAGGTAACCCAGAGGATCTGTGGTCTGGGATTGGTACCTGATTCTCAGGCTCTTTTCTCCTTGCCAGGGTGAGCTATTGACAAGATGACACCATTCCTCAGTACTGTCCCCTGGATATATGTGAGGGGTCAGACATGTATGTAAAGTTGGGGAACATGTGTGAGGTTGGGCACACGTGTGGTTGGCGTGCATGTGGGTGTGGTCAGGGACATGTCTGTGCCATTAGGGTTAGGGGCTTGGTGGTGGCAGCTGCCCTAATTCTAAGGCCCAATGTGTTGGCCCGATTGGTTGTATGACTGGAAGACTCTGAGGGCCATGGCAAAGTTCTCAGGTTCTGAGCCAAGGCAGCTCACTTCCTACACATTCTTGCCCCAGCCCTGATGTGGGTGGAGCTGGGCCTACTCTCACTGATAGGGGTCTTGGGTGAACGACAGCAGGTAACAGCCGGTCTTCTCCTCATGGTGGGCCCTGCTGGGGTCTGATTTCTGAAGCATGGAGGCCCCCACCTCCTTCAGGGCCTCATGGGCTGACGGAGGGTGATGGTGAGCCACGTAGGGCTGAGGTGGGTGGTGACATGGCCCCCAGCCCTGCCCATGTCTCTGCTGCTTCCGTGAGGGAAGAGTTAGGGCTTTGCTCAGGCTGTAGGCAGATGTCAGGCAGATGGCCTCCAAATGCAATTTCCTGTGATGAACTGGGAGAAGATGAGTTCCTAGGGGTGAGGGAGAAGGGTCCTTGGCTCAGAACTGACTTAACCCCGCCCCCAGCTTTCTGTCTGCACCTAGGCCAGCTCAGTTTCTGTACCCAGGCCTCAGGACAGCCTGTGAGGGGCCTAAGTATGCCCCACGGGGCTCAAGCCAGCATAGCTCCCCTTACAGGGACACTGGAGCTGACACCTGACTCTAGCCCAGCTTCGTGGTCACGCCCTCTGGGCAACAGCAGGGACAGGCTACATCTGGATTCAGGGCTCTGTCCCTATGTCCCCATCAAACCCTCCAGTTCAGGGCTGTGTCCCCCCATAACGACCTCCCCATGGCTCTGTCCTCCCTATCCCACACTGTCCCCAAGCCCCTGCCACTCAGGACTTCCCTGGGCACCTCTAACTGCCTCTGCATTTCTGTTTTCCTGCTCCTTCTGCTCCACCCCTGCCTGCACAGCCTGCATCCCCTGCTCCTCCCTCGCCCAGGCTCCTGGGCCTTCTCCTTCGGGTCTCACAATCCAGAACTCTAGGTCTGGTCTGCCAGCTCTCTCATTGGCTCCCCTTTCAGGCTCAGCAGGAGTGGGGTACAAGGGGGTTAGGGAGGCTACAGATGGCCCCATCCTTCCTGGCGCCAGCCGGGCTCTGTCAAACCACCCAGTCATCCTCTCCACCTGCTTCTGTGCTATCTCAGCAGCTCCTCCCACCTCTCCCACTGTGTGCCTGCTTCCAATTTACCCTCCTTTCAACCCAGAACTCATCCTGACTCGTCCCTGAGCAGAAACTTTCTAAAGCTCCCGGTTATCACCAGGACCAAGTCAGACTCCCCAGTCCCTGGGTCCTGCCCTGCCTGCCCCTCTGGACCTAGTGCTCCACATGGCTTCTCTGTAAAGGGTCTCCTCATCCTGTTGCCCCCTCTCTCCAACTTGGAATGCCCTCATCTCTATCTTAAGGCTATATCTCCCCCTCCATTAGACAGGGGTCCCTGGAGCATCTCTGGAGATAGAGGCTGTTGCCTACAGAAGACCCTAAATTCAGGGTCTAGATCTGCTCCATCAGACTAGAGGTCCAGAAAACCCAGGGCTGTGCACCTCCCCGCCAGTGAGACCAAAGGCTGGAGGATGGGGACCCAGTATCCCCCATCAGTCTGGGCAGGGCTGTGTCCCCAGTCAGACTGGGAATCCCTAAAGTCAAGGTGAGTCTCCCTCGTTCAGACTAATGTTTCAGAAATCGGGGACTGTGCCCTTCCATCAGACCAGGAACCCCAAGAGTGGGGGCTGAGTCTCTCTCACAGCCTGGCAGGGGGCTTGGGGCAGGGCTGCATCGCCCAGGAGACTGGATCTCTCAGGGCAAGAGGAAGGGATCAAACAAGCTCCGGATCAGAAAGGCGCCCCCTCTCCCCCAGCGCCCTGCCTGGAGGGTGACAGCCTCCCCAGCCCCTCCGCGCGGCGGCCTCACCTCCACCAGCTGCCCGGCAACCCCCGCGAGGCACACCCCGAGTGCGGCGCCGCCCAGCACCCAGAGGGTCCCCGCGCCCGGCTGCCCCGCCATCTTCGCGCCACCGCGCCGCTTGCGGAGCCCAGGGACGAACGGGCCGGCCGCCGGTCACTGCCCCTGCCAGTCGCCGCGAGCTTTGGCCACGGGTAGTGAGCGAGCATCATTTATTCATCCTCGGTGTCAGGTTCCCGCGCCTCCCGCCCCCGCCATCGCTTCGGTGGAGGGCCCGCCCCCTCCCTCCCGGGAGATCGGGCTGCAGGCTCCCCATCCCTGCCCCCACCTTCGGCGCCCCCAGGGACACTGAGGTGGGGGTGGGCGGGAGGGAGGACAGGTTGGGGCCAGGTCCCTAATCAACAGGTCCCCCTCCCTTCTGCAAATGGGCCTCAGTTTCTCCATATGGGACAAGGAGGTGGGGCTGGAATCTGCTGATCTAGGAGGCCCTTCCCATTCTGTCATGCTAGATTTGAAAAATATACTGGATTTGAGTTTGGAGGGGGCAGAGCGGGCAGGTTGCCATGGTGACAGGCACTCAGGGATGTCCTGGTCTTTCTGGCCTGGCTTCTTGCCCAGAGGCGGCTCTGGTCACCCTGGACACCAGAGCCGGAGAGCAGGAGATGGTATGGTCAGAGCTGCCAGCCGGCAGTGTTATGGAGAGTTCCAGAAGAAGCCAGCATCTTCAGCCCCACAGGACAGAAGTCGGCTGCCCCTGGAAGGGCTGGAAGACTATTTTCTGACCCTGACTGCCCTCAATCTCTGCCCCAGCCCGAACGCTGACTCTGACTTCAGTCTAAGCAAGGACCCCAACCTCATGCTGAAGTTGACCCACACTGCACTCTGGCCCTGACCCCATGTTGAGCCTTGACAACTGAGGGACAGAAGGAGGTTCTGAGGAAATGTACAGACCTGGGGGAGGGGCTGAAGACTTAAGAAGAGGAGTGGGGAGGCGTGGAGTTGGTTGACTCCTCCTCCCTCCTTTCCTTCCTTCCTTCCTTCCATTCTTGTCCTGCTGCTGAGTGTTGGAAGAAGCAGTCCAGGTGTTGGGCCCCTGGAACCCTTATCACCAGGGACACCGGTGAAGGTCTGCGCAGGCTGGGGATGGCCCAGCAAGGCCTGCCCTGAGAACCGGGGAGATCTTGTGGCTCCAGAGCCCCGTGAGGTTCTGGGCTGGACATGCCATGAATGGGCAAGGACCACAGCAGGCTGCAGCAGGGAGCAGAGGGCCACCTGCGGTCACCTGCCAGTGTCAGGGAGGGCCACCTGTGGGCACCTGCCAGTGTCAGGGCCTGGAGATGACAGCCAGCGAGGAAAACGAGAGCTGCTGGAGAAGGACTGTGGCCCAGGAGACCCATCGAGGAAACGCTCAACAGCAGGAGGCTAAATCCGGGGATTGAATGGGCTGGGCCAGCCAGTCCTCCCCAGGCATGCCCTGGCCAGGCAAACAGGAACTCTGCTAAAATCCAGATCACTTGTTACATCACTCCAATCCCCACTTCCTCATGCTGCTGCTCACAGGCCAGGCTAGGGAAAGCCACACTGACCAGTCAGGGAGGTCACCCTCGGGACATGGGGTCAGGGAAGCTGGACAGGGTGAGGACTAAGTGAGCCTGTCAGTGATGCATTGAGCAAAGCGTTACTCCTCTGTTTCTGTTTCTTATCCATGGAGTGGGGAGGGTGAGACTCCCAGGACTGATGTGAGGATGATATGAATTAATGAATATGGGAGTGCTGGCTCTCCTTAGCAGGACAGGTAGCACTCTGCTGCTTACAGGCTCCCAATCACAGCTCAGCCAAGGGGAGAGCTATTTCTGTTTTCTGTAAAGTTCATCCATCCATCAAGAAGTAGGGCAAGCCCAGTGAATAAATCTGAAAGAAAATACAATCACATGCATCTTCCGGTGTCCCCTGAGATGGCCCCTGCTCTGCGTGGGTTCCACTTCTCTGCAGACTCCTGAACACAGCTGAGATCTCACTGTACACTATTTCTGTGTACTGTACACTGGGTACACTTTTGTACCCAGAACTTTTTTTAACCAACTCAAGTACTCTAGATCCTCCTTGACCCCACCATAGCCAAATACTATCACACGGGCTTCAAAGTCAAACTGATTGAACTTAAATAGCAGGGTGTCCCAAGGGTCTCAGTGCAGTTTTAAGCTTTAATAACCTCAGAAGTATAAAATACAAATGTATAAGAGACACCATTTAGCCAGGTGCTGTGGCTCATGCCTGTCATCCCAGCACCTTGGGAGGCCAAGGTAGGCGGATCACCTGAGGTCAGGAGTTCAAGACCAGCCTGACCAACATGGAGAAACCCTATCTCTACTAAATATACAAAATTAGCTGGGCATGGTGGCGCATGCCTGTAACCCCAGCTACTCATGAGGCTGAGGCAGGAGAATCGCTTGAACCTGGGAGGCAGAGGTTGCGGTGAGCTGAGATCGTGCCATTGCACTCCAGCCTGGGCAGCAACAAGAGTGAAACTCTGTCTCAAAAAACAAAAAAAAAGCAGCATTTGAAAGTTTAAGTTTCCTTTTGTGCCTCTGAAGATAGTCAAAGCTGACTGAAAGAAATTTAAGTCGGCTGAGTGTGGTGGCTCATGCCTGTAATCCTAACACTGGGAAGTTGAGGTGGGAGGAATGCTTGAGATCAGGAGTTTGAGACCAGCCTAAGCAATATAGTGAGACCCCTGTCTCTCTAAAAATAAATACATAAATAAAAACAAAAAAAGAAAAGAAAAGAAAAAGAAACAGGTCATTCAAAATTCACAAAACTAAAGTAGCATAAAGAGAATTTAAACAAATTTTCAAAACATTTTTTTGGGAAATTTGTAGCTTTATATGTCCTAACTTCTGAAGTTATTAAAGCTTAAAACTGCACTAAGGTTTCTGGGACATGAGCATACTGACAGCTGTGAACCCTCAGGTGGGCTACTTAACCTCTCTGAGCTTTAGTCCCTCATCTGTAAAACAGATAAAATTCAGGATCATGGGCCAGGTGCAGTGACTCACACCTTTGGGAGGCCAAGGTAGGAGGATCATTTGAGCCCAGGAGTTCGAGACCAGCCTGGGCAACATAGCAAAATGCCATCTCTATTTTTTTTTAAATTCAGTATCATGCACCAGCATATCACAAGCCTTCATTAAATGCTAGTCATTATGATTATTATCACTCTTGTTAAAGGCTGTGTGATACTACACTGTATAAAAACTCAACAAGGACCAGGTGTGGTGGCTCACGCCTGTAATCACAGCACTTTGGGGGGCTGAGGTGGGTGGATCACGAGGTCAGGAGATCGAGACCATCCTGTCTAACACAGTGAAACCCCATCTGTACTAAAAATACAAAACATTAGCCGGTAGCATGTGCCTGTAGTCCCAGCTACTCGGGAGGCTGAGGCAGGAGAATTGCTTGAACCCAGGAGGAGGTGGTTGCAGTGAGCTGAGATCCGGCCACTGCACTCCAGCCTGGGTGACAGAGCAAGACTCCATCTCAAAAGAAAAAAAAAAGAAAAGAAAAGAAAAGAAAAGAAAAGAAAAAAACCTTGTTGGATCTCTGTCCTATTGTTGGACATTTCCATTGCTTCCAATTCTCTAGTATTAAACACCACGTTAAGGCGAACATCCTGAAAGTTGAAAACTCTCTCAAACTGTATCTTTTCCTCTGCACGTACACCAACACAACAATCATCCACACAGAAGTCTTCTGTGATCAAATGTGTGGGTTTTTCCCCTAAACGCCAAGCAGCAGACACCGAGTGCCTTCCAATTCAATTCTGATAGGATCTACCTGGAGATAGTGTCAGATCCCACAGATTGAGGCCTCAGTTCCCAAGACTACCCACCCAGCCCCAAGACACTAGTCCAGTCTGGCCTCTGGAACTTCTGACCAAACGGCTTCACGTTGGGGTTCCTACAACCTCCTCTTTGGGCTTCATTTCCTGGAGTAGGTCACAGAACTCAGGGAAGCACTGACTTACTTTTACTGGTTTACTGTAAAGGGTATTACAAAGGATACAGGTGAAGAGATGCATAGGGTGAGATACGGAGGAAGGGATGTGGAGCTTCCACACCCTCCTGGGCATGCCACCCAGCCTCCGCATGTTCAGCCATTTGGAAGCCCTCTGAACCCTGTCCTCCTGGGGTTTATGGAGGCTTCATGACATCTGCATTCCTTCCTCCCAGAGTACAGGACAGGACCCTCTCTGCGGAGAATCTTAAGATTCACAATCAGAAAGGTGCAGGAAGATTAGGGTCCTGGCTTGGGGCAGGCGAAAGCAGGGCAGGAGAAGATCAGAGAGATTCCGTTTCCTGGGGCCTGCCCTGAGGCCCAACACATTATAGCCAAAGACTGTAACAAGGGCAATGGGTGCTATAAGCCAGGAGCTGAGGATGAAAATCAGTACCTAACACCACATGGGTTTTTTTTCCCCCCATCTTTGAGGGACTTTACATCTCTGAGGGCTTTTCAGTAAGGAATTTAAGTTCATAGAGGGTTTATGCCCTGCCTATGGTCACACAGGAACTATGGCCTCCAACTCAGCCTTTGCCTCCAACCCAGGGCACTGCCCAGTGTCCAGTGCTGTTTCTGCTCTTAGGAGGACCTCATCTTAGGAGGCCCCCACATCCCTCTGCACCCCAAAATCAGTTGGGCCCATCATATCTGGAGTTGGGGAGCTCTGGACTCCAAGTCCTCCAGCCTTGATCCCTGGAAGACAGTGTCCCCTCCATACATGGTGCTGTGAATGCTGGCCTACAGAACCCTGCTTCTCCCTCCTGTACTATTTTTAGCTCCTGTGAGTTTCCTTTAGGGACCCAGTCCAGCCTCCAGGGCCTCTGGATTGGAAGCTGTGAGCAAGGCAGGGGGTAGTGCCCAGAGGACCCTGTGGAATGTTCTCTCCTGGAGCCTGAAACTCCAGGGTTTAAGGTTTAGCTCTGGGGAAGCTGGGGGTAGGAAATGGGGACCCCCTAGTCACAAAGCTAGGCTAGGATCCAGGGACTCAGCCTAGGGTGGGGGCGGGAGCTGGGCAGCCTAGGTCTGTGCCACAGCAGCTCGGG